GTGTATTTCTCCAGACTGAGCATAAATATAAATGTGCCATCCATCCATCCATCCATCCATCCATCCATCTATCAATATATATATAGGGGTAAATGTGCAAATATCCTTTAAACTGTAATTGTCCTACTGTCTGAAGAACCTTTTGCACAGTACAAACCACATTATTACAGCATGTTCATTGCTTATAGTCATATGCATGCACACACACACACACACACACACACGCAAGTATGTATATACAAATATTTTAATTCGTCTGAATAGACATAATATGCCTTGGTATTGCTTCACTTAAAAACATATTATTGTAAGCTTTTTCACATTTATATTATAGGCTTTTATTTTGCTCTTTACCTGTTTCAAGCACATGTGGCACTTGTGAGTCAGACAAAGGTGTACTTTTTGTTTTCTGTGCCCTGTAGTTGTTGGAATCTTCAGAAGTAAAGGAGGATGCGGTGCTGTGCTGCTCTATGGAGGTAGGTGAAGCTGCCCATCTCCTGGCTCCCCTTCCATGTCCGTGCTCTTTTCACACATTTCTCCTAACAACAAACACTGTCTAAATGAGTAAATAGCCTTCATTTAGTATAGAGTATATAATAATATTGATTTAGTATTTAGTATAAAATAGCATGAGATTTTAATAGGGGTGAAGCAGCACACAAAAGAGAGCAAGTGCTGAGCTGAGCATGTCTCATATGTTTGCAGCAACATGTCCAGGTTCGGTATAACAGAGCCAACAGACAGCTTTGGTCAACTACTATCTCTCCATTGTTGGTGTAATTTATTGGGAAAACAAAATGTCCCCAAACTGGCAATTCACAACCACAATTAGCATAAAGTTTTCTATGTTGAATGTATACTTGTGAATTTAGGTTATGTCTGTGCAGTGTGTTCGTTTGTTTCATTGTGCATACCGAACTGAAAACAGTGTACTAAACGATACATGATGAACACGTGTACCATTGCAGTAACTCCAGCTAATTATACTAATTCAGATAGACGTCAGGCAGTGTATGTTTAACCCTACACATACTGTATTTTTTAAGTTTAATATATATGAATTTTAGATTCAGAAATAAAACAAGTGTGGTTTTAGTTTTTAAATGTAATCTCAACACAGATGGTCCATTGGGATAAATAACCAAATAAAGTCTTTCGGATGGGTTACAGCATAAATATTTAAAGACCTCTTTTGTCAGTAAATGAATGAACCAGCCTTGAGATGTATCAGTAATATTGTACACAGACATGCATAAGTTGTCCAAAGAAAAGAAAAGAAAAAAAAATAGGTCAAGGTCCTAAATGTGCTCGATTTATGAGCTAAGCTCCGTAATGGTCTGTGCTTATCTACAGTACAGAGATTGGTGAGTTACTGCTGACAATTAGCCGGTAGATTCTTGAAGGCTGTTGTAATAAGGTCACCAGTGCATGATAAAAGCAGACCTCACACCCGTGAAGACCATAGTTGTGTTAAAATGTCCTTCACAGTAGCTCAGGCTGCTGCCCATTGCAGCAAACGCAACCCTGAAGTGCGCATCGCTTTGGTCTTACTGCCTAGAATCCTTCTCTTTTGTCCTCCCGGCTCAAACACGTAGGTTCACTGCACAGGGAGTAGACCTGCCACGCAAAGGGGCTGTTTCAATAACCCTTTTTAAAAGCACAAAGCCTGCTGTACTCTTTTTTTATCCTTCTTAATTTGTCTGTGCTATCGCCAGGATGTTATTAAGAGTGTTAAGGTTCTGCAGATCCGAGTCCAACGTTACACCCTTTGTAGGCATTCAGAGCGTGTATCAGCACTGGGTAAAGTTCAGCTAAGTCATTTCACTTTATTCCCCAGTGATGTAACTCCCTGTCTTGCTTAAAATTGGTTTTCGTATATATTTTTCAATACTTACATATAATTTCAAATTAGGTTCTTACAGCTGGGTTAATACGCACACTCATGAATAAATATTAGAGCTGTTTATTTGTTATCCTGTGTGGTATGTGATTTTGAGATGCGTGCATTGCGAGTTTGCGGCCCACCTTCTCCATTTTGCAGAAGGTCTTCTGGGTCGGACCCTGAATGGCCGCAAAGTGGTGAAATATGTCAGGGACCTTTGTCTGGCTTCGCTATTTCATCTGCCTCAGCTCCACTCATTTCAAACAGGCTCTGTCCCCCTGGGCAGATTTAAAGCCCAGTCGCCATGGCTCCAGACTCTGATCCTCCCTCTTGCCCTGTCATTTCTTTGCTGCCCCCCCCTCCCCCGCCCCGATCTGGCAGCTGCAGAGCACCGGTCGCCTCCTAGAGGAGCAGCTGCCGGAGATGATGACGGAGCTTCTGGCGGCAGCCCGGGACAAGATGCTGTGCCCGTGCGAGTCGCAGCTGACGCGCTCCCTGCTCATGGAGGTCATCGAGCTGCATGCCCACCAGTGGAGCCCCCTGGAGGCTCTCACCACACAGTACTACAACAGGACCATCCAGAAGCTCACAGCCTGAGACTCCCGGAGGGTGATCGCCGTGCCGTCGCCACGGCGACATCATCCGAAAGCCCGCTGCTTCTTTGGGGCGGGGAGGGGGAGGGGGCAGCTGGGCCAGGGTGAGGGGGTCAGGGGACGTAGACAGACTTGTCACTGCCGACACTGCCTGTGACGAAAGGGGTTTGTGTGCCGCCCACGCAGAAGCCGGAGGGCGACAAAGGAAACACGTGACGGAGAGGTGTCCCAGCACGACTGGGAATAGGGCTTTTTCAGAGGAAAGGGAGAGCAGGGCGGGGGGGCGGGATTTGGCTTTTCTTCTTCTCTTTTGTGTTCGTGTGCCAAGTCCCCCCCCCCCCAGCACCAAAAAGCAAACACTTGCTCTCAGCTCCACAGAGGTCACATTTAGCCCTCCGAGGTGTCTTCTGTGAGGTCAAATGAACAGACTTTTCGGAGTGCAGTCATGAGTCATTCCTGGATCTGCCCCGCTGCGCCTTTATGTGGCTGCTGCCTGCTGGCCAACTCAGTGGCAGATGGCCACTGGGACGTCAAGAGCCGGCACACTCCTGGGTCCCGGCCCGCACCCCATTGGCTGCGGGGGCTGGGGGGCGGGGCAGCGAGGCCCCTGCATTGAGGGCTCTGTCGTTTTCCCTCCTTTTCTGTTCGTGTCGTCCTCCATTGAGCTGAGCTTGCTCCTACGACATTATTTTATTATTCTTTTAAATCATGTTTAAAGATATTTTAGGGTATAATTGCACAGCTCTGATTTGATTTGCACTGTTTCAAGACAGTTGTTTTAAATGCGGAGAGCAGCACGTCTTAGAACATTTCTCCAAGACTGCAGTAAAAGCTTCAGTAGCTGGAGAATTGGATGTAATCGAAGGGATGCTTTTGGAGTAATAACAGAGAATGTATTTAAAGAACATGGGAGAGGCTATTGACCTACACAGTGTGAAGTATGTCCGTATTTACTAAGCAACATATGTGTTGAAGCCTTGTAGTATATGATAGGAAATCTGACATTCCCTTGCAAATTCAAGCTTTTAAAAATAAAATACAAATCAGAAGTTGAAGAAAGCAGGCGTTCATCGCCAGGCTTTCACCATTCTGCAGTGGTTATATTTTTGCAAGTTTTTTTTTTTTTTTTTTTTGTGAGACGTCTCCTGATTTTGCAGCTCTGTATGATTGGTGTATTTGCAGATGCTAAAATATTTTAAGCATCGTGTCAGTCGCTAATGCTGGCTTCTGCAAATATGTATAATATTGTATTGACAGGCCCAGCCAAGGGCAATATGGTATATAATCTCATAAACAGTATTCATGAAATATTAAGAGTAAGCAGAGCGAGGTCGAAGAATACTGGTGCAGGAATCGCTTATGTCTTTAGGTAATTTTCGAATGTAGGGCTTACATTTTAAGTCTTTTAAAAAAGACTGAAGTGTTTTGGATAAACACCAGTCTTCAGACACTACTTATGTGTAAGCTCTTTTTTTTAAAATTATTCTCTGTGGGCAATCTTGTGTTTTAATTTTAGTCTTGCACCAATAATCTAGCTCTTGTGCTATTTTTTTATTTAAGCTTTTATTTAATGTCATATTGTTTTTAATGGGTTCCATGATGTAAGTTATACATTTATAATATACTTGGCTGTTTAGTACACGTGTGAGCCTTCTGTGTGCAAGCTTGTGGTTCTGTTGGTCAGTTCACATGTACGGATCTGGTCTTCTCTTTCATCCAGACTCAGATTCCGTCTTAAGAACTGTGCTCCTTGATGCCCCTGGTCCTGCATAGTCATGTGACCATCATTGAATTAAAAGCCCTCAGTCTGGCCACATCTAAGGCATTTAAACATCCATTTGCATGACTACTGTGAATTTATTAGGCTAGATATTGGCCAGAGGTAATGGTCATGAATACGTTGAAAAATTAAAAGATTTCAATAGTGCCAGTGTGTCATCTTCTCCCATCATCTCTCAGCTTCTGCTGCATTACGAAAGTGGGCAATGTACCCCCAGCCAGTTTGGTAAGATGAAGGAAGTGATCAATGGTCAGCAGCATTAATTGTTCTTTCGTGCTTTATCTGTACTGTAATTTGAGTTCTGTACTGTTCTTCGGAGAACTACATTCAAAAAGCTGTGGTTCTCCCACACACACTCTTTGTGGCTTGTTTATAACCAGTAGTTGGAGTGTTGTACACTTTTTAATTAGGGTGCTTTTCTACTGCTCTAGGTACTGAACTTTCGGTACTTCAGAATGGTACCAAAGTTAATGGTACTTGTGTTTTTCTTCTGGCATGAAAATCTGGTACTGCCGCAGGATGACATCATCACAACACAAGGCGGGGGATTTGTACTGAATTTGAAAATGGTTACTATGTTACAGGGCTGGCCGATGTGCGATATTAATATTGTTGTGCACATGTAATTCTCACATCACAAGGACCACGATAGTCAGGTGGTCTAAGATCTAGCTTTTTCCTACCTTCATCTTATACAAATATTATACCACTGTATATGGTATTTTCAAAATGTTATTTTGCAAAACATTTCCGGTATTTTGAAGTCTTGCTGACAAGATTCCGCGGTTTAAGTCTCACTAAAACATTTTAATCTGTCCAAAGAAACAATTTAGCAAGCTTTGCAACTTCAGCATTTGTCCATGCATCCATTGTAATAATTTATTTTAAAATTTTGTTCAGTATTGTTTTCTGACTTCACAACTACGCCTTCTCAAGGTGCAGGTTGTATTTTGTGTGTTTCAGAGGCAGGTTATTTGCATGGCCAATTACAATGAACACGTTTACAAGTAGCACCCTAAAGTACTGAAGGGACTGCCCTTGCTGGCTTGCTGCTTTGGTGCTGGACCAGAAATCAAAGAAAAAAGGAACATTTTTGATACCAAAGGTTTGGTACCTGGTGCAGTGGAAAAAATACCCTTAGACTGCTGTTTGGCTATGCTGCTGTTATTTACATTAGAATGGAAAAGCACACAGAACGAGCTTAGCTCAGCACTTCATGTCCAAGAGGTATCCAGGTCATCCTCTTAGCCTTCTCTGTGTGAATCTCCTTTCAGAACCTGTGGGTAGCCTTGATCTGAGACCCCGGCAGGGTTATGTGCTGCAGGGTGGGTCCCTTCGGCCAGAAAGCCCGCCTCCCTCCAGCCATCTCCAGGCACCCACAGATGTCCTTCAAACCACTGCAAATGGATCAGAATCTCTCCTTTTATGAATTTAAGGGAGCCTGATATGTGTTGTTGATGAAATGTTGGGTGTGAAGCAGCGAGACTCGAACATTTATTCCTGTAAAGTGTCTTTACTTTCCAGATAAAGTAAATGTGTTAATTGAAATAAATTTCTAATCAATAAATGGGCCAAAAAAAAACAAAGGATTGAGGAAGGAGTAGTTTACAGTGCGGTAATAAATTAGAAAAACAGTGAAATATTTCATAGGAGGTGTGTATTTTTACAAGAGGGACTGAAATATAGGAAAACATTACAGTGGGAGAAGAAAAATGAAAATAGTGAGTCAAATAAAATCTTATTCCATATCATGCGTAATAACCATGAAACAAACTATTAAATTGTGGGAGAACATCACAAATCAGGGCTGTAGTGAAGATTCAGTGGTTTGATCTCAAAAAAACAGAAACAACAATTGATTTGACATAAGAACATAATGCATAAATATTTTCAAAAAATCTAGCACTGTTTCGGAGAGTCGTGCATGATTCTATAAAAAAATATCTGCATTAAAGTGTTACCAAGGAAACGGCTCATCTCAAATATACTCTGGGATTTGTCTGGAGTTTCAAAAAGTTATTTTTTTGTTTCATATTTGTGATGATTCATTTAAAGAGCTCATACCCAGCTAATATGGGAGATTTCACAGCACACGTCGAAAGTGAACTGATACTATGGTAGTTTAACCATAAAATTGATACAAGCGCAGGAAAACTGATCTTGCCAAGGTCCATGGCAAATATTTTGCACTTTACCAGAATAATAGTCTGCAGTTTGTTACCTGCAGGCATAACTTGGGAAAATCATTATGAAATTAATATGTAAAGTAACAGCAGTGTTACTTTATATGTGGAGAAAAATCATTTGTTTTATTTCTATTTTTTTCATTCTTTCAAATGCCATTATTCTGCATTTAACTGTAGATTCTTTTTTTGCTCTGAGTGTAGTTGCAAGCAAAAAAGTAATGTGAATATGTGCAAAAGACACTGCTTTGGTAACCCTAAAAATAAAAAAGTACAACTGTGCCTGATGCCTGTCGTCAGACTGCAGTGAAGATCACGCAAGATAAACGTCAAATCAACCTAAAACGGGACCACATAGGACTGAGTGGAAAATGGAGCTGGTAACCGTGCGTATCCTCATTCTGTGTACTAGATGCTGCCATATGTGCTTTGCATTAAAGCAGGTTTAGAAACAATGACATCCGAAAGATTTATTTCCTAAGCTTTAAATTATTATGACTATTTAATACTTGAAATAATAAAAATAACAGCTTTTGCGTTGAACTGATTCATTCACGGGTTGTTTCAATTTCTTCTTGAAAATGGGGCCAAATTCACATGCTTGACGAAGGTCTTTGATTTAATTACCCATTGAGCCTTACATACATAGCCTGTTTACTATGGTTATACTTTAAAGCTATATGTAAGGCAAACTGGTTAAAACTGGCTAAGGTATGCTGTTTCAATTGGGTAAACGCCCTTGCTAGCTCCGCGATGTGGACTTCGGCGCAGATCCTGATGTTGATCTAAGCTCAGCCTTTATGTCCAGCGAAAGGGAACTGAACAGTCATATTCTGACATCCTGGACTGGCAGTTAGGAAATGATGTCATGACCTGTGTGCTTCCTGAATTAACTGCTTAATGATTCCACTAGTTAGGTCTGCTGAGTAAGCCTGAACTTTATCCTGCAGAGACGAATCCTAGCTGCTGCATCCATTCTGTCTTTTAACGGATCCCTTCTTGGGATTCACTGTTGCTGACATGGGTCTGATTCTCTCTTACCTCCTTGTGGTGCCAGAATAAAGAAGCTTGTGGTTGTTATTCTTCCTTATCATTTCCTGCTCACACCTAACCAGCAGCGAAAATGAGCGCTACTTCCTGGTTTATAATTGCAAAAAAGGGTTTGGGCTTTCCTGTATCTGAATACCAATAACCTGTCATTGTTAAGTTGTAATCTCTTATGATTTGTTTTAAAAGGCTTGTACGTAATATCATGTATATGAAGTCACGTGTCCATTTGCACACTGATTAAAGTACATGGAGGAGTTTGTGAATGCAAACTGTAAGCTTTTTTCCAGAAGAATCTGACAAATACCCTTCTTTGTTAAAGTGACATTTTAGTCGTAAATATTCTTTTGTTGTTAAAAATGCTACTTTTTGCATAATATTCTGTAGTTCAACTTGTTCTTGTGAAGCAGTTGGCAGATTTAACAGGAGGTTGGAAGTGTGGGGATTCCTGGGGGCAGGGAGCAGCACCTGATGTCATCGTTGTGACAATTTAATTCCTGTCAGGCCGCTGTCACTGTACTACCCTGTTTGCGTGATGTGACCCTGTTGCCAAGCAACATGAAGTTCAGCAACACTTCGCAACTTCCTTTAGCAAACCCTGACTATACTCTCAGGTTTTTATTTAATCCATGTGTTTGTGGTTTATTGCGTTAACTTTATAATCATCCATAGGTCGTCATTCATATTTATGACTTTCAAACATTCAGATAAGTAATATCTTTTAAACAATAATTTATTGTTTGGTTGAAATTAGATTCTTCAGGAAATCAACCATTAGTGATTTTTTTTTTATTTACAATCATTGTCTCTGCAAAACCTTTTTTTCCTGTTTACAGACTGTGATGTTACTGAATTAAGAATTGTACCATATATTCAATCTGATTCATTTACACCAATAAGCACTAAGAGCTTAAAGTATTGTTACCCTTAAGTTTCTATGAAATGCTCTGTAACTTAAATGATTCCACAAAAACATTGATTGGAGTTTATAAATGATGAAGAGTTTCCTTTGTACATAATTTAATTCCTAATTTCATTCTGGGAGTCAATGTGTTTTTCTCTTCTTCCTTAATGATTGTTTTTGTGTTTTGTCAACACCTACTGTATGATCTACATATAGGCTATAACACAAATACTCTCCTATAGTGGTTTTGGAGAAATTCAGCATAGGAACTTCATTTTAGACGTTGATTGGTTTAGATCATTGATTGGTCCGCTCCTTGCAATCTGGAAAGGTAGAGTTATGAAGATGCATAGGCCGATTATGGCTTCTGAGTTAGTGAATTACTGTGCAGATGATTTAAAAACAGCAAAATTGAGTGGGCATGAAGTTCATTGAATGGAACACAGCTGGTCATTTTAAAAATCCCAACAATTAAAGAAACATTAAAATTGTTTCATACAGTCTTCCCTAACCTCTGCCCTATTGTCCTTGGATGTTTCCAATGAAGTACATTGTGCCTAACATTGTAACTATGATGTTTTTAATATAGGCTGAAGACGTTTGTTGCACAAAGGCCGTTCTGTTCTGCTGGGCAGTTTATTTAGGAAAAAATAAATGTTGTTGCATCTGTTCCAGGATGAATTAATGAAAATATGAAAAAGCTACCTTGAAGTACCATTCAGGTACTTTTGTCTTCAATTACCAAGTCCCCTTTTCAAGAATACTGGGGATTAGGTGATAAAGAACAGCCCCAAAGATTGAGATGTCATTAGCTTTTTTTAATCTACTCATTGTAATATTTGTGTATTAACATCCCACCCTATCTACTTCTATTTCATTTATACTCTTTTTTTTTTTGGTACCACTTTACAATAAGGCTCCCTTTTGCCACTTGTAAATGTTAGTAACTCATTAATAAAAAGAAAACTGTGTTATAACTTGTTTAAAATTGTCTATTAATAATTGACAAAGTGTTGCAACCTAATTAACAACCAGATTATAAACCATTCATAAACTCCTTATATGGGTAGCCTTATTGTAAAGTGGCACCCTTTAAAAAAAAAATAAAATTTAAAAAGGGAAAGATCTTGAAAATGTCCGTGGGTCTCCAGCCTCCGTGTTTGTCATTCCAGTGTTTGTTGAAGCATCTATTATAAAGTTCTCATAGCACGCCGGCCTGAATCTCCGTGATTGGTTTTTGGGTCTCGGCTTTTGAGTCCGTCGTTCGTCGTGTTGCCCGCAGGTCTTGGTGAACATGTACGTTTCTAATGCCAATTAAAGGAGACCTGATGGCAGAGGGCTATCCCAAGGTGACCTCACGCCGTATGTCAGCACTTGTGCAAAATCCTATGACTTTGTAACACGGCTCGGAGGCACTGATAGAGAGACCCGGGCTATATTGACACATCTGCATGTGTTCCCCGGTTGTGTTTTTCTCCCTTGGGTCAATGTATTCAAACAAAAACAGCTGCGCTTTGAATTCGCAGCACGCTGTCACGCACATCAAAGTACAAGGTGACCTCTTGTCTATACATTAGTTTGGCGTGCGACCAGTGATCAAAGATACAAATAATAAGACCATTCACCGCCTTCTGTTGGTATATTAATATCATTACACGGCACCTCATGTAGTGCAAATATGCGACACTTCAGTCCAAATCCAGATACCACTCAAGGTGTCTCAGTGCAAACAGGAAAATATTGCAAATGTTTGATCTGCTTCAGTCCTGAATGTAGATATACCTGTCTTATCTACAGGCCGGTTTGAAATGCAGTTTTCCATGACTAGTCTGAATTTAATTTATTATTTTGTTTTAATTTCATTTAGTAGTTCAGTAGTCAAACTTAACTATTCACATCACGGGGGAACATTACCAAAGGACGTGATAAGTCGTGGCTACACCCATTTTTTGTAAAATTCAGCTGATTTGGTTGGTATCTTAATTTGCTCAAATTTTGAAGCAGTTCTAGTAATGGCTTTGTTTGTCGTTAGTGTTCTTTCGTAAATAGCAGCAGGTGATGTGGTCCTTGACCAGAGGAAACCCATAAGATGAATGAAAATGACATGTCTAACAATGGCTGTCTGTGCACAGTGAAAGCAAGCCATTGTTTAAGAAGGACGACAAGTACGCTTGCTAAGGACAGTACAGTGATATACTGTATAATATAACTCATGTTGTCTTCGTCTTGTGCTTGGAGAATACAGATGGTAATTTTACATGTATAATCATATTTTTGTGTGTGTGTTTTGGGCAATATCTAAATTTATTTAATTATCTAAGTAAAATATCCTCCCTGTTTTGCTGAAATATTTTATACAACTAAAAATATCTTCCATATTCTCCAGTTATTCAACACGCAACATACAGTATCCAACCCACAATATCATATTGCAACTTGCTTAGATGAATGAAATTCATTTGAATAGCCCCGTTTTTTGTTAAATTACATTTATTCTCTCCAGTTTTATTTTGCTTTCCTGAAACAATAATAGCATGATTTAAATACCTCAGTATAATAAGCAAACGTTACATGTTTTGCACATTTTATTTAGACTTGTATGCATCTTGTAAATGAATTTTGATATATGCAGTTTTTCATTTTGTGTTGTTTTTTTGGTTACTATATGGGCTGAAACTTAGCGCTATACTGCAAGGACTGTTGTGACCGTCGTCACAACCTTGGTATATTAAAATCTAGCCACTATAATATGAAGAACCGCGTCTTGTGTATTCTTGTGTATCCTTGCGTATCCTTGTGTATTCTTGCGTATCCTTGTGTATTCTTGCGTATCCTTGTGTATTCTTGTGTTTTCTTGTGTTATGTGATTGTGGGGCTCTCCAAATCAGACCAGGAGTCATTGGCTTTCCTGAATCTGCTGCTTCTCTTCCATGTCTCTTATGGCTTTCTGTTTACAAGACCAGTCAAAGGTTGGGACACGCCCACCAATAGAAAGGTTTATTTGTTGTCTACATTTTATAATAATTAAAAACTATAAAATAAAATGTATGGAATTATGCACTGACCAAAAAAGTATTTAAAAAAAAAAAAATGTATTGGGTGCTTGCGTTGTAAGTTGAGACTCAGAAGGTCGCTGGTTCATACCCTGGACTGGCAGATTGATCCCACCATTGGGCCCTTGAGCAAGGCCCTTAACCCCAAATACTCCAGGGACAGGCTGACCCTAGTGTCTCCTCTACACCAGTTTCATGAGGTGGCCTCCTGGGATGCTTTTCCAGCCGTCCTGAAGGAGCTCCCACATATATGCTGAGCTCCCATTGGCCGCTATTCCTTCACTTTCTGGCCAAACTCCTCCTAAACTATCTGTACTGTTTAGGTCAGGTGGCCAGGTTACGTGATGCGACACTATCACTCTCCTTTATTGGCTGCTTGCCGCGTCCAGACCTTTGACTGGTACTGTGTCTCTTTGTGTCATGAGATTTGTCCTTGTGTCTAGCTGCAAATTGCCTGTCAATTTTTTTAGCCAGTCTGCATATTAGGCAGTAAACACACTTTGTCATTAATTAGAGGGATAACAGTAAATTATCTGCCTCATATGTGACTCCTGTGCGAGTTCAGATCTTTCCTTCATCTTATAATTAAGTTGACGGCCTTTTACAGAATACTGATTAGAGTCTGCTATCTGGATAAATTAGCTTTCAAAAGACTCTGATGTGGAATTCAAATATATTATCGATATACAAAGCAATGCACAGTGCATCAAATTTCAGCCAAAATGCAGTCAACAGTTGATTTAAACCTAAATATTAAACAGTTAATGTAGAGCAAGAAACACAAATTATCTGGATCTGAACTGCGAGATTGTTTCTTATTTACCTAGATCTTCAGTTGGTGTATCCTGATGCCAGAAGGCTTCAGCGTCATGCCCTCTCTGCCATCGTGATGCGGAGATGCTGAGCGGAAAAGCCCACATAAGCTCTTTGCACTTGCAGGGAGAGCATGTGAGTCAGACTGTCTGTCTCCTGTGTTGCTCCACATCCCCTTTGCGGAGCTCTGAACAGCCTCTTCCTGCCTGTAGACCCATCGTCTGGAGCCATGTGCTCACCACAGTGTCCCACCCAGCGAGCCACTGAACCGCATACATACATCACATGCATCAGTCCAGGATTCATCTGCAACCTTTCATGCGCTGGGAAGAAGAAAGCTGAGCTATGCAGTTATTCTGGGATTAATAAAATACCTATCAATCTGTTTATCTGATGGATGGATGGATGGATGGATCTACCTACTCTGTCTGTCTGTCTGTCTGTCTGTCTGTTTGTCCTTTTGTCATCTATTTCTATACATGCCATAGTAGTGTTTCATGCCTAGATAAATCAATCTGAATCTATCAATCTATCTAATCCATCGATCACCTATATCAATAACAACCAAAGGGGCCTTTCATGCCCGGCGAAGGTCAATACTTTACCCTTTAGGTTGTCCGCACTGGGTGACTGGCTGCAGGGTCACGGCTGACTGATGGGTTTCCCAGCTGTTTCGGAGGGGGGGGGCTGGAGCGTGCGTGGGCAGCCGCTCAAATCATGTCGTGCCAGTCGGTGTCAGACTGTGCGACAAACAGCTCAGAGCCGTGTCATAGCGCTGGGCACCTTCCCCCCGCTGTCAATTACTGTGAGAACATCAGCAGACTTATCTCTTCAGCTTTCTTGTCACCGATCTAATCAGCCTGCCACGAGTCACTAAGGGAACTCCATAAACAAGTTCTGCCCATGAAGAGCGTGGGAGTTCTTGTTTACCTTTGCGTTTCATTAAAAATGACTCGTTGGTGACACCTTTGCCAAGTGTTGCGTCCTCCCTGCTTTGAAAGAAGCCATCTGTGACATTTTCATACCTGCGATGTGACAGACGCGTGACATGCTGGTCCTGCTGGTTTTTATTTAAAGCTGGGGGAAAAATTATGGCCAATTAACTACTGTTCATTATTGGATGTATTATTAAATGTAAAAATATATATATGTGATTAAAAATAGATTATTTTAAAACATATCTTAGTACCTCTAATAACTTTATACATGGCTGACACATTTAAATCAATATATTTATAGTGATCCAAAAGACATAATTAATTAGAAGGTCAAATGGACTGAAATCCAGAGTGTTCCCTGGACCAGGGTTATGAACCACGTAATTAGAATTAATTTAACTACAGCCTTGCGTTGCCAGAATAGAGGAGGCCAGACCAAAATGGGTGTTTTGTGCAACATCTAAGTCCAGAAACACAGACAAGACCACCCAAAAATGCTGCCCAATATCTTCTGCCTCCCCCCCATGTAAAAATGTGGATCAGCTGGCATTGTTTTGCACTCTTAGCTTGTGTGCGAGCAGTCCAAAGAGCTATTTTCTTAAGTTTCTTCTTCTGCCAATAATTCACTGAATAAGTAAGAAAGGAAGTATTTAGTTACTTCTCCAGTTTTTTCTTCTCGCTACGGTATGATGCAAAAGGCCTCTGACCGCATGAACTGCCATGCTGTAAATAATTACCTCCTGTCTCTTAGTAACCACATTGCTGAACAGAAAAATCTGCCCGCGTATCCAAATCTCAAAAAAAAAAAAAAAAGAAATCTGTTCCTTTGTTACAGCTCTACAGAAAAAAAATCCAAGCCCGTATTACCGTGGTAACTGCAGCTTTGGGGGTTTTGTGATCCAATGTCCAGTTTGCATTTCTTGAATATTCATTTGCATTTTCCCCTGGACTCAATATTCCTGTCTTTTTGTTGAAGTAGATGCGTAGTCTAGCTTTGGTGTCAGCGGGGAAATCTTTCCTCCTAGTTTGGCATCATTCCTAAGAACAAAAAGCAGCTTAGGTCTCCGTCTCCCCAGAGCCTTGCATGAAAAGCAGCTGTTTGCCAGGCTACACGCTGGTGTGTGTGTGTGTGTGTGTGTGTGCTCTGTTATCCTGAGACACCCCAGCCTAGTGTTTTCTCACACACATGTTGTAGGGCAAGCAGTTTACAGTGTATTATTTATTTATTCATTCTTAGTATCTGTGAAATGATTCCCCACATACCATCGTTTGGTGTTACCTTTCCCAATAAAATGTTTAATTGCATCTATAAATGCAGAGGTGTGCCTGCCGAACTGCCAGCAGAGAGACTGACCGTTCTACCAATTCATGTACACCCTCGGTACTAATTCCAAGCACTCCGTGAAATAGACTAAAGGTTAATAGAAACCTGCATGACAGAGAAAACTTCTGCTCTATAAGGCGTCATGCCTATGATGAGCTGAGCCTGTAATTGGGGGAAAAAAAGTGATGATTGGTGAATGATATCGCCTCTGCTGCCGTGTAAGTTCTCAGAGTAAATATGCCTCAGTTGAGTAATACACACTCGTAATTGAAATGCAGTGCTGATGGAATGCTTATGAAAATAACGTCAGATGAGGTAATATAATATGTTCTCCATTCGTTTTCCAGTGCTAACACCCTACTGGCAGCTTCTATTCGGTGGCTTAACAACAGTGAGTGTTATTGTACTGTGTCACAGGCTTGTTAATTTGAGTCTGCTCTGCCTTTACCCTTTGCATTGTTAACCTAGGCCACATACCCAGTTGGGACCCACCCGCAAAGTCAAGAATGATTGTCTCTGCAGGCTCGCTCCTGCCACGGGGCTGTAACAATAATACATTCACGCAGCTCCCAGAATGCTTTTCTCTTTGACACTTACAGGCTCGATGGAGACAATGGTACCAGGCTGGCCTACAGATCTCCATCTGTAACTATAACATTGTTGGCCCTTCACAGTAGAGACATTGTTGGAGCTGATGTTCAAATGAGATGTAGCGTGGTTGGGATTCCTACGTGAGTTTATTTTATGAACATAATGATACCTCTGATTTCTTTGTTCACATTTTGTCTTTTGTTAACGTTTCAGCTTTTCTCCCCCCTTTCTTCTAAGAACAAAGACTCAGTGGTGTGAGATCATTAAAGCAGAGCTCTGCCTAATTCACCAAGGATATACTGACCTTAATGATCGCAGCTGGACGAAAGCCCCGCTTTTATTGATTTTAGTTTGTGTTTTTTTTTTTCTTCCTGATTTTGATGCTCTTTGCTTTTTATAAGTTACAATCAAGAGAACACCTGTACATTTAGAGGACTTGTGTTTAGTGCTGAAAGTCCAGAAAGTTCTGCAATATACAGTGTGAAACAGTGATATTCACTCCTGGTTATTGTACCCTTATTATTTATTTATTTAAACAACTATTCCTTTTCAGTAATTTGATCTAAGAATGCAAATATAGGCCTAATATTCAACATACTGTTTACTGCTAGATAGTTCAACGTGATGGATTTGCTTTCGGACAGACTTACAGAAACACCCAAAGATATAGTCATGGACGTTTTGTTAGGCATTGTGTGTTTGATTGACAGCAGCTTCCTTGTTCTCCTTACATCTCCACTCCCTTGGAGTCTCGCTTTCGGAATTTCAGAGTGCGTCTTGGGGTCAGGATGGGGGGGGCTGCACCCCCCCTGGCCCCCCCCCCCCGCCGGGGCCGGGGGGTCAGGATGGGGGGGGGCGGGGGGGCAGGGGGGATGGGGGTCATTCCAGGCAAAGGTGGGTGTCCGCATTGCTAAGCTTCAAGCTTTATATGCTGCAATAAGACGGATTGCAGGACAAATACCAAGGTAAGCCATGTACTCTCATACTCTCATCCTATAGCATTCTGGGATCAGTGAGAGGATGTCACAGTCTCTG